TTTTTTGTGGCAAGGTGTCTCTACATAGCCCTAGCTGTCCTGAAACTCTGACTATGTAGACCAGACTGGCCTGGAACTCACAGAAACCCACCTGCCTCTGCCTCCCCTGTGCTGAGGTGTAAGACGTAAGTCATCACACCCCGGCCTGTGAAATGATTGTTTCAGTGGTCCTGCCTAGGGGACAGATCTGTTTGCACTCTCGGGACCTGAAAGTTAAGAGACCAAGGCCTGTACTGCTGCACCAAAAATCCCTCTTTACGTTTTTTCAGGTACTCAACAGTTATTGACCTCGAGGAGCTTCCAGCCTAGCTGTCTGGTAAGGTAAGTGTGGACTCATGAGATAGGAAGTACATTAAGATGCTCTTCCGGGTCTATATTTTAATTTTTTTTTTGAAATTTATTGTGTATACAGTGTTCTGTCTGCAGGCCAGAAGAGGGCACCAGATCTCATTACAGATGGTTGTGAGCCACCATGTGGTTGCTGGGAATTAAACTCAGGACCTCAGAAAGAACAGGCAGTACTCTTAACCGCTGAGCCATCTCTCCAGCCCTTAAATTTTTTAAAAATCTGTCTAGGTGTGTTCGTAGTCCTGGCTGTCCTGGAACTCAACTGCTATAAACTAGGCTGCCCTCGACTCAGACATCTGCTAGCTTCTGCCTCCCAAGTGCTGGCATTAAAGACACACACCACCATGCCCAGCTATTTATTTCTTAGACAATCCTCTTTATATTTATTTGTTTGTTTCTCTGTAGCCCTGGCTGTCCTGGCATTTGAAATGACACTTTCCATTGGTTTCGTTGTAGCTGGGCATTCCTTGAGGTGTCGTATGAGATGAGGTTTCTCTATGCAGTCCTTGACTGCTCTGAAACTCTTCTCTGTAGACCAGCCTGGCCTCCAACTCACAGAGATCCACCTGCCTCTGCCTTCCACATGCTGGGTATCAAAGGCCTGTGCCACCACTGCCAGCTTGCTATTGGTTTTTGAGACATCTCCCTGTATAGCTCTGCTTGGCCTGGTCCTAGATAAAAACTCTTCACTCCCCTCCTCCGGCCTCTCGGGCAATAGATAGTCGTCTCCTGTGTGGCTCTGTGGAGGACCTTAAGTAAGCCAGACCTCACTGTTGTCTTTGTGACTGCTGTCTTTGCCTGCGCGTAATGTCCTAGAAGTCTACCCATGCTACAGCATTGCCTGAGTGTGTCCTTCCATTGTTCACAATCCTGCCTTTCAATTACCCATCCATCTGATGATGGACAGACTCCTAGATACGTTTCATGTTTGGGTTACCATAATATGTACAAGTATGAACATAAAGGTACAAATATATTTCCAATTCTCTTGGGGTATAGACCCCAAGGGAAGTGGATTGCTGGTGTTGTACACTCAATCGATGTCTGTGTTTTGTCCCGGTTTCTACAGCAGTTGTGTCGTTTTGCGTTTCTAGCAGTATACAAGAATTCCGACCCTCTGTAGCTCAGCAACACCACTGATTGGCTGGCTGGTGGGGCTTGTTTGTTTTCAAATCCCAACGGTTGCATGGTCTCTCATTTTGTTTCCCTGAGTTGACATTGGGTACCCTTTTGCTTGCTATCCATTTGTGTGTCTTCAGTGGAATGGTTTGGGGTCCTTGGCCTCTTTTTGTGTATGGTGCTGAAGATGAAATCAGGGCTTCATGCTAGATAAGGGCTCTCCCAATGGGGGCTCTGTTCCATCCCCAGCCCCCCACCCTTTTTTTAGTGTTAAGGCTTGAACACAGGGATCCACTCATGATAGAGACAGTGTTGTCCTACCACTGATCTACATTCTCCAACCTTTTTATTATTTTTATTTACTATTTTGGGTTTTTTTTGGTTTTTTTTTTCTTTCCAGACCTGAGGACTGAACCCAGGGCCTTGTGCTTGCTAGGCAAGCGCTCTACCGCTGAGCTAAATCCCCAACCCCATTGTTTGTTTTTCAACACAGGGTTTCTCCTGTGTGTGGTCCTGGCTGTCTTGGAACTTACTCTGGTTGACCAGGGTGGCCTCAAACTCAGATTTGTCTGCTTCTGCCTCCTAAGTGCTGGGACTAAAGGCATGGGCCACCACTGCCTGGCTATTTATTTATTTTTTTAGACACAATCTTTTTCATTTTATTTTATTTTTTAAGATTTATTTATTTAGCCAGGCGGTGGTGGCGCATGCCTCTAATCCCAGCACTCGGGAGGCAGAGCCAGGCAGATCTCTGTGAGTTCGAGGCCAGCCTGGGCTACCAAGTGAGTCCCAGGAAAAGTGCAAAGCTACACAGAGAAACCCTGTCTCGAAAAATCAAAAAAAAAAAAGATTTATTTATTTCTTGTGTATGCAGTGTTCTGCCTACATATATGCTTGCAAGTCAGAAGAGGGCATCAGATTTCATTATGGATGGTTGTGAGCCACCATGTGGTTGCTGGGAATTGAACTCAGGACCTCTGGAAGAGCAGTCTGAGTTCTTAACCTCTGAGCCATCTCTCCAGCCCTTCTTTTTCTTTTTTTTTAAAGATTTATTTATTTATTATGTATACCATGTTCTGCCTACATGTGTGCCTGCAGGCCAGAAGAGGGCACCAGATCTCACTTTTCTTTTACATTTGACCAAAGTACATTATAAACATGAGTGCAAATGTCATATTGAAAACCATACATTGAATATATGCTAATATTGAAAGTACATTTTTCTTTTTGGTTTTTCGAGACAGGGTTTCTCTGTGTAGTTTTGTGCCTTTCCTGGAACTCGCCTTGGAGACCAGGCTGGCCTCAGAACTCAGAGAGATCCACCTGCCTCTGCCTCCTGAGTGTTGGGATTAAAGGCGTGCCCACCACCACCCAGCCTACAACATGTGTCTTTTGGCCGCCCGACTGAAAGTACATTTTATCCAATTTGCAGTAAGGCTGTTAAGAAAGGAAATGGCTCAATTGCCTTTAGCCTACTGGCTATGGGTGGGATAGGACCTA